TGTGTGTGTGTGTGTGTGTGTGTGTCTCTGTGAAACATTTGTTCATGCATAAACCAACTGCTCATTACAAGCGTCCCTCCACAGACACGTACTCACCCGAGCCAAACTCATGGGGTTGTGAGGACCTGAAACAGAAAATGAGATTCAGTCAGTTTAAAAGTGCAAACAGAGAAAAGTACACTTCATTTATCAAACAGAGAAATGTGATACAACCTATGTTTAATTCAGACACAAACAAACAGACCAAACTGTAGAATGGCAAAACATCACTTGCTACAAATACTAGAGTCAAACCTTCAGTGAAGGTGAAACAGACACACACTCACATACGTGTGCACACACGTGTTTCCTTGGTGATCAGTCTGTCACATGTGCAGTTTCCTTTCAAAACGAAATCAATGTCTCTTCAGAGTTAATGTCCGGAACCAAAACTACATCACCTCAGATCAATGAGGAGCCGCTTTGATTTTACCGATCAGCTGCAAGAGGCGAGGAGATCCAGTGTTTCTGCTCCCAACAACTCTGAGGTCTGAGTGTGTGTGTTTCTGTTTGTGTCAGTGTGTGTCTGTGTACATGTGTGTGTCTGTGTGTGTACCTGTGACTGCAAGTCATGTAGTGTGAACTGCACACGGATCTGATGTGTCGTCTAAACTTAAACTAAAAAGTTCATGTGCTTTTAACTTTATTTAAAAAAGGTGAAACTAAAGAGTTTATCATACGATGTGCTCAGAAACATGTTGATGAGAACTCGGCGTGTTTGTGTGTTTGTGTGTGTGTGTTTGTGTGTCTGCAGATTGTTGAGCTGATCAGATGACCTGAAGTTTCCTGTCATGATAAATTCTGCGTGCGGATCGTCTGAGTTTCTGGTTTAAAGACGACAGGTTGGAGGCAGATTCAAGGCTGAGCCTTAACGAGAAGCGTTTTCTCTCTCCCTGGGACTCATTTCAACATATTACCACTCTTGTCACTCAGGGGGAGAGAAATGTGTGAGTTAAAGACTCTCTACAAACTGTAGTGATCTGAAGACAATGATCACTGCAGGTTTATTCAGGGTCACAACAACGGTGAACTAATGCTCAGTGTTCGGTTTTAAAATCCAAGTCAAACTTAACATTAAAGCTCAAACACGTAAATGATTTTCATCTGATGGGACATTTCCCAGCTGTGGCCCAGTAACGCAGCACTTTGAACAAGTTCCCCTTATTGTCTCAAACACATCACAGACCAGTGTCCCAGAGTTTCGAAGGGATTCTCTCGCGGCGCTCTAACAAAAACACCTTAACGAGGCAATCGCTGAGGATTCACTGTGACCTCCGATCGCCAAAATCGAATCAGTTCATCCTTGAGTCCGTCTGAACGTTTGTACCAACTTTAGAGAAATTCCCTCAAGGTGTTCTTGAGATTTTCTAGTTGTCGGCGCAGGAGCATGAAAGATGCAGCCCGAGCAGCAGAATGATTCTCATGTTTCTAAATAAGATGAAGATGGAATTCGCACTAAGCTGCTCGGTGAACATGTTTCTGTCTCTGTCCTCAGAGTCTGAGCACGATGTGATCCTCCTCCCACAGAGAAGAATTCATTCAAATCAAACAACTGTGACATTTCCAGACGAGATATGTGACCGAGAGCAAACATTACACCAACAATATTCCAACAAGCTCCGCTGCTCCGACTAATTATCTCCTCTCTGTGTCTTCTCTGGAAATATCAGCTTAATTAGCTGTTGAATGAATAACTCAGCTCGTCAGTTTACGAGCTGCGTCTGGATTCTGATTGGACGACAGCTTGTCACACTTCCTTATTAACTCTACCTCCGCATCCATATATTCACCTTTTGGCCGGAGAACGTCAGTGCAGCGGATAATTGAGAATTCTGCACCGGCTGGAAATCCGCCCACTGCATCAGAGGTCAAACCACTCGTTAGGAGAATATTGTCATTTTTCATTTCCAGGACGTTGTTGATGGTGCCCACTCAGCCCCCGAGTCGCAGAAAGACAGATAAGAGGGAGAGAGTCGCTCGTTTCTCAGCCGTCGCTCACTGAGGAGCAGAGTCTGCTGCAGCGCCGGCTCGTCGTCATCTGTCTGAGTTCAGAGGTTCCAGTGTGTTCGTCACCAGCTCTCCACCACAGAGGATAACCACAGCTCAACACTCTCGTCTGAAGAGGGATTACGTTGTGTTTTAGTGGTTACTCGTCCTTTTTTAAAAAGCAGCCACACGTCCATTATGAGCTCAGAACACCAGAGCTTTTCAATTCCAACATCAACAACCACAACCAGCGCAATTTACAAGATTCTGGCTGAGGTCATCGGCTGCATCAGCTCGTTCACTGTTCAGAGGCTCAGGGTGGATTTGCTGAATATCGCCACAGAGGCACTGGATGCTTTCACACTGACCTGGTTTCATTTGGACCTTTTGACTTTAGTCAGAACCAAAATATCAGGTGGGAAAGATTCCTCTGACCACGGTCCGGACCAACGGGGGAAAATTCAGAGGTGGTCTGGGTGCAGATCAAACTGAACATGGAAACACTTTTTGTGGATAGTTGGGACGAGGGCGGGGCAATAAAACTTGTAATCGTACGTGTCATAAATAACAATATAACACAAGTTCAATATAAATAGATTTAATGCTTTTGCATCTGCCCAATAAAACGACGACTTTCACTCAAGAAACTGAAACAATTATTGATTATCAACATTGACAGAACAGAACATTTTTATCCTGATTAAATTTGTGGATTTATCTTCTAGAACTAGTTTGGACCTTCTGACCAATCACAGGAAGTAGAGACCGCATTAAACACCAGAAGAAGAAAAAGGAGAGGAAGCAGCTGCAGTCTTCAACTCTTTTTATCAGGTTCAGGTTTTCATGGACAATGTTTTCCCATATTACTTAACCTGATATATGTTTTCACCCCCCCCCCCCGCTCTTTATTCATTAGCGTGGTCTTTCAGTTTGAGAGCAGAACCTATTGATTTCACGTTCAGATTTTGTGAAGCTCTCACTCTAATCCCTGCACTCGCACTCCACGTTTGTGCTTCACCTCTTTGAGAGTCCCGTACGGACGGTTACTCGAACTGGGTTCATGAATCTTAACAGACTTGTTGCACAGTCAGATCCAGGAGCAGACGTTTGAGCTCAATCGGAACAAATTAAAGCACAAACGGCAGCTATGTGAGTGTTGAAGACTCAGCATTCCAAAATAGGAATCCAAAAACCAAAAGGATTCAGCTGAATCTGACACATCGCACTGAAGCTGTTCCCAGCGTCTGACAACATGAGGTGGCAGCTCATTTGTCTCCGAGCTTTAGCTTCACAGTGAAGTGAGATCTGGTACGAGCGTGTTCTTCCCGCAGCATCATTAACCGGCAGCAGGACACAGTCACTCAGACTGAACCAGAGCCGTGCTTATTCTTTCTTCTGCTCCAGATAAACCCAGGCAGCTCTCACGCTGCTGTCAGGGATTCTCTCTGATGTCTGGCGTCTAAACACTAAAGACAAAGACGTTTGTGCAAAGTGCAAAATGAGAAAAACACACAAGAGAGAACAGAGACAGAAATATCCTTCATCTGTTCACAGGCCACAGATTGTCGACTGCTCCAGTCCCATATTTGACACGTTTCCTCTGGTGGTACGTTTTGTGGATTCAGGTACAAAACACAACAACGTCATGTAGGTCGAACAAAGTATGAATAAGAGATTTTTTTAAAAATAAGAAACTAAATCCTGCCGGGTTTGATGCTGGGTTCAGGAGGGACATGGGGCTTGGTCACCGTCAGTTCTGATGGTTTGTTTAGATTTCTTTAGTGTTGTATGAGTTAAACAGGTCGTCAGAAGTCTGGAACATACTTAATGCACGGGAGGTGTTTTCTGAACATCAGTGCATGGAAACCTTTTCAAATATTAACAACCTGAATTCTAAGTGCAGGCTCAGTTTCACATCTGCTCAACTAAACAGTCCGTCACATCATGAATCTATTCAAACGTGACTACGGTCAACAAAAGAAATCAAATTGTAATTTTCATCGGGTCATTCATCACACTGAGAGGAGACTCTTCATCACACGGTCAGGTACATTTAACATCCCGACTCTCTCGCTCACAGACACTGACGGACTCTTTCCAGTCGCAGCACACGGATGCTTTGGCAATGTCAGCTGAGGACGCTGGTAACTAACGGCAACAGATGCCTCTAATTCTTAATTACCGTCTGCGACAGACACAAAACACAAACAATAAATCCGTTAATTTGATCTCAGAACAGAATATTAAACCAGACGAGCTTTTCTCTGCTGTCGTTGCCTCTTGTCACAAACATGGGAATGTGCGTAATGAGCCTTTAATGCCGACACAGACAACATCAGGACGCTGCGTGTGTCTGATGTTGGAGTGTCTCCGGGACGAGGGCAGAAACATGCAGGTCACATATTGACTCTAACTGTGGATTAACATTGATTTTATGAGACAGGACCTGAGGAGGGCGTGCAGACCTGTTAGCAATATCATGTATTTTAATCAACTACAGTGAGAGTCAGCATCGATTCACCTGATGCTTCCCGCTCTCTGCTCACTGTGCGTTTAAATTCTAATTCAAAATCAAAGAGCAGAGACGAGGCTGATTTACATATAGATGAGATTATTATTAACAAACAGACTCAACATGATCTAAATAAATTGGAAAGGATCTGCCAGTAATACATGAAACACACGTCAGTATATACCACACAGGTACTTGATGTTATATTCTCCTGCAGCAGCCACATGTTTTATTCACAATGTCAAGGAGAAGCACTACACTACCCACAATCCTCAGGTGTTAACAGCAATATCAGTGATAATAAAGATGGAGTGACACCTCAACCTTGTTTACAATCTATGATTCAGGCCATGGTTATTTAAATCAAAGCCTCTTTGTCGCCCCCTGGTGGCTGGCTTGAGTACAGCTCATAAATCCCTCCTCCTCCATGTTAGTGGATGGGACAAACTGCACTTCTTCTCTGAGATTATTTATTTTTTGTTCAAAATGTTAATTTTTGTCATAAGTTTGGCTTGAATTAGTTATTTGACACTTAATTAACGAGGTGAAATGTCATGATTGACAGCTGAGCCTGACTCGTGATTGGTCAA